CTTGGCAATGAAACCTTCTGGTTGATCAACGTATACTTCCTCCAAAAGCTCTCCATTAAGGAACTCTAACTTCACATCAAACTGATACACCATCCATTGCTTTTAAGCTGCTAATGCAAAAATCACTCGGACTGTTTCAAATCTTGCCAAAGGTGCGAAAGTTTCTTCAAAATCCACCCGTTGTTGTTGTTCGTATACCTTTACAACAAGCCTTGCTTTATGCTTAACCACCTTACCATTTGCACCATACTTCGTTTTAAAAACCCACTTTAGTCCAAGAGCTTTCTTCCCATCTGGTAGATCTTCCAACTACCATGTTCCATTCTTGTTAATTGAAGATATCTCTCCTTCAATGGCTTGCTGCCATTCTAGTTTTCTTGCTGCATCAGTATACATGAGTGGGTCTGTGGCAACAAGAGCATATTGACATGAAGCATACACATCCGCTAAGGATCTGTAGCCTCGTGGACCAGTGCGCTCTGATGATGAATCTGTTTCCGAGTTGGAGTTTGGTTGCACACTTGATGTTGATGGTGTGCTAGGTGTTGAAATGATTGTTGACTGATCTTGTTGTTCCATAGAGTCGTTGTTGGAGGTTACTTGTATTGGTATAGTGATTTCCACGTGGGCTTGACTTTCATCTTTCCAACACCATTTCTATTTTTCATTTACAACCACGTCCCTTCTTGTTATTATTTTCTCTTGTTGTGGATCATATAACCTGTATTGCTTGGACTGTGTTGAATAACCAACAAAGATGCATTTGGTGGATTTGTCATCCCATTTCCTTCGTACCTGAGATGGGATCAAAGCATATGTGATTGAACCAAAAACACGTAAGTGTCTTACCGATGGCTTAATTCCAGTCCAAGCCTCAAATGGAGTCATGTTCATCACTACTTTAGTTGGGGATAGATTTAGCAAATATACTGAGGTTGCAATAGCCTCAGCCTAAAATTTATTTGGCAACTCCATCTCTTTCAGCATGCTATGTGCCATTTCTTGCACAGTTCTATTTTTACATTCCGCGACTCCGTTTTGCTCCGGTGTGTAGGCTGTCGTGAGCTCTCTATGTACTCCATTTTCTTCACAGAACAAAGTGAATTCCTTTTATGTAAACTCTCCTACATTGTCTGTTCTTAGAGTTTTGATGTTGCATTCACCTTGCTTTTCTACTTTGGCCTTGAATAGCTTGAATTTGGAGAAGGTTTCTCCTTTGTTTTCCAAGAAATAAACCCAGCTCATCCTTGTATAATCATCTGTGAAAAGTAGAAAATACAAACTACCTCCAAGTGATTTGTTTTGCATGGCTCCACATAAATCTGCATGGACCAGACCAAGTGGGCTTTGAGCTCTTTGCGCATGGCAGTGGGAAACGACTTCCTGTGTTGTTTTCCATAAATACATCCTTCACACATATCCATAGTCTTGATGTCTGGTAACCCATGCACCATACATTTATTAGAGAGAAGTTGCAGACCCTGTTGATTCAAGTGCCCATACCGTAAGTGCCACACTCTTGACATGTCTTCACCTTTTGCAGCAAGTGCTACGCTCTGAGGCTTTGAAAAATCGAGTGGGAACATGTTATTTTCAGTGATTTCAATGGTAATCAAAACCTTCTTATCCTTACTGATCACACATTTTGTATCTTCAAAATGAACCACATATCCGGCCCTCATCATTTGCCCAACACTAAGCAAGTTGTACCCCAAGTCTGGCACATATTGAACACTTTGCAAGGATTTCATTCTTCCATCATCTGTCTCTACCTTCACTGTACCTCTGCCTTCAACTTGTAAGGATGTCTTGTTGCCCATTCATACTATCATCTTTTGTGCATCATCAAGCATATCGAATGATACTTTCTTGCTCTTCATATGATTAGAGCACCCGCTATCAACAAACCACACATCATTTTCAGTGTGACCTACACATAGAACAAACAATTTTTCTTCTTCATCTTTTCTTATCTCGTCTCCTTCACCAACCCAATTTAACAGTAGATCTTTGAACCAACAATCATTCTTGACATGGCCGAACCGTTTGCAGTGATCACATTGCAGCTGAGAGTTGCTTCTTCCTCTTCCTCTGCCTCTACCGAAACCTCTTCCACGTGATCGTCCTCTGAATCCTCCACGTTCACCTCCGCTTGATGAGTATTGAGCTTGAAAGGCTTTTTCTTCAACCTTGACAGGTGATCTTCTGATGATCCTGGCCTCATGTGATTGTAACGACCCCATGAGTTGGTTAAACGTGAGTTCAGCAAGATCTTTTGATTCATCAATCGATGCAACCACATGATCAAATTTCTCAGGCAAACTTCTCAATACTTTCTCCACTATAGTCTGATCGTTTATCGTGTCTCCGTAGGACCTCATCTTGCTTACAATGACCATGCATTTTGACAGGAAATCTCCAATGGATTCATCTTCCCTCATAGCCAGATTTTCGAACTCCCGTCGTAAGGATTGAAGCCTAATTACTGCAACTTTGGCATCACCATGAAATTCTTCTTTTAGCACTCTCCATGCTTCTTTGGATGTACTTGCTGCTGCAATTCTTGAAAACATACTATCATGAACAGCTTGTTGAATGATCGTTATAGCCTTTGCATCTTTTTTCTTATTTTCTCTGAGTATGTCATCTTCATCTTCAGTCAGGTAGCCATGTTTAACTATCTCCCACAAATCTTGTGACTTGAGTAAGGTCGTCATCCTTATGCTCCAGTATTGATATCCTTCACCCTTGAACACTGGAATCAGTTGCTGTGTGGACGACATTGCATTTGCCATTCTTCACGAATCACCCTCCTTTTTTCTGATAAAAAAAGAGCCTGTGCTCTGATACCACAATGTTGGAATACGTATGCAGAAAAAGAGTGTGATTTTATTTATCTGCGTTGATGAACAATACATAAAACAAAGCTTCCTATTTATACCCTTGAATAGGCATAACAACTAGAGCAAAAAAAACGGGAACTTATTCAAAAACTAAATGACTCCTAAAATTACTGCCTTAGACCAGGTCAGTATCACACTCATTCAAACACTCATTCAAATTTTGAATCAACTTCTTTTGGTTAAGAGGAGGTGGTGCAAGGTGGTCCTATGGTGGTTATGGTGGCACAACTCTTAAGAACGAGAGGGGGATACACGGTGTAGTTTATGGATTGATTAAAGAACAAGAAGCCAAAATTGTGCATCCATACACCATTTGTGCATCACAGTTTTTAATTCCAGCGAAAGCATGTTCCTGCACACCCCCATTTTTTAAATGGTTGACTCTTGCAATAGTCCAAATGGAGAGAGAGACGTGACTAGGCTTATTTTGCTATTATTCTTTTTTTTTTTTACTAAAAGCAAATATCTCATTAAGTCTTAAAAACGGATGTCGGTTTGTGTGTCCAATTCTTGACGTTGTGAAAAAATTTTTGATAGCGCCGATTGATAGATATTAATTCAAGGATTCTCAAAAACTCGATCCGATAAATTTTTCGGGTTGTAGAACTCCGGGAATTTGCGTTTAAAGTTTCGCGTCTAATTGGTTTGAAACGTCTTATTTTTCTGAATTTTACGAATATTTTACTAAAAATATTTCGACTGGTAAATAAATTATTAGACCCTAGTCTGAGTCCAAAAACGCTCTCAAAATTTTTCATATGAGGTGTGCAAGTGCCTCTACGGATCAATACGGTTTATGATATCAGATAACGTTTGTGTTATACGCTTCGGTTTTTTAAAATGGTCATATCTTTTGCATACAAACTCCGTTTTGGACGTTCTTTATATATCCGCGATTAGAGAAACATGTACTACGAGTCTAGAATAATTTTTTTGTTCACAGACGCTTAATACAAAATTTTAGTTTTTCAGTCGTTACTAGAGTTACAGTTTGTGCTTTACATTTCGTTCGAAATTTTCCATCATTTAAGATAAGATACCATTTCTTATCTTATTGTATTTGAAATAAAATTATATTTTTACTAAAATATGCATTGAAATTCAATCAGTCGAGATACAAAAAGGTTCGCGGTGAACTGATCGTTTTGCAGATTCAGACCTAAATTCTAGGATGTCACATCCACACCAGAAGAGAGAGTCTTTTGTATTAGGTTAAGCAATTTACCTCACTTTTTCCTCTACAATACGTGATGCTCTTCTCACATACTCTAACCCTATCTCTCTTCACTAAGAATTACATAACAAATAAGGATGGGCTTTTAAACTTTGGGCCAAAACAGTTGGGCTAGAAACTTAAGTTACTGGGTTGGGCAGATTCAAGCTCACTAGAGTTGTCTCAAGCTCATTAGATAGACCACTTGTGTTGACTACCAAAAGAAGATGAGGAAGAATGGTTGATTTTACTTTTTTAATTAATTAAAAATCACCCAATACATGAAACTTGTAATTGTAGGTTATATAGACTAAAAAGACGATCACTTGACAGTTTGTTCCATCATAAAGCACGGTTAATACATCATTTTTCCCATTAAATTAAGACAAGATAACCAGCAGGATGCTGGGAATGATACAAGGAAAGTGAAACAAAACACAAGTGACAACCACCACAACATGCCAAAGTAAAAAAAAAAAAAAAAAAAAAAAAAAAAAAAAAACACAACACCTCGGATATAGGAAATGCTAACCAGCCAAACAGACGACCATGCTAGAACCAATACAATCAGACAACTAATCTCCTTGATGACGAGGAACATTCAAGACAAATCAAACACTACAGCAGGTAACTGACACCTTCGAACCCCAACCACATGCTATAAAGGTAAAACAGATGCAACCAATAGGAGGCAACACCAAGAGAACCGACTATCAGTCAAACTGCAACAGCAACCAAATTAAAATCACCAAAAGTACTATTCCTAGATAGAAGCAACACCAAGATTACCAACTTGCAGAAAAAGTCATTAAGAATCCAGATTAGCAGCACCAGGAGAACCGACTTGTATCCATAAGAATAGAATCAGCACCAAATTCAAATCTTCAGACCACCAAATTCAGATCTACAAACCACCAGCAAATCTAATGAATAGCAAATACCAATAAAGCCCAACACTTAATTAACAAAACTGTCCGAACACATGAGACAAGTGTATTTTATACCAATATACAAATTGTCAACCAAAAAAAAAACTGACCTAACACTGAAAAAGTGTTGATTAAATTTCTAAGATTATGGGATAATGCTAGTTTTGAGATAGTTACAAAGTGGGTTATATTGGGGAAAACCGGAAAACTAAAAAGATTTGGCAAAGAGTTTATGTATTTGTATTCACACACACGTATTCAGTGCTTGGCATGCCTTTTTCTAGTTACAAATTGAAGGAGAAAACCTTGGGTGTGTAACTTGGTATATTCTGCATAAAAAACTAAGGAATATGTAAGATTAAAAGAAAATTTCAAAATCCAAAAAGTTCAGAGAAATTACTTTAGTCAGCCTTCGAATTGGTCTCGAACATCTCAAACAGTTTTAACACTATAGATAGTTTGGAGTAATGTTAGGGTGAACAGTACCGAAGCACCAATGACTGTCAACGTTTTCCAGGTGGTACTTCTATAAAGGCGTCTCAATGAAACTAATATGCTAGGCCAGAAACGATTGCAATATTCATCCAATCGTTTCCATTCCTCAGTGTAATAAAAATCTCTAACGACGATACCTTTGCAAATATTGTTGAAGAGATTTGTGACATCTTCAACGGCTCCCAGGTTGTGTTGAAGGACTTTTGACCTCACAAGCAACGAAACATCATCTTTAGTGTCAATGAGCTTGTCCATCAGAAAGGCGAAAGAAGTAACATAATGACGACTTAATGGGTAGCATTGCTCATAGGCAATGAGATTCCTCAAGAACGATGGTGTGGAGTCATTGATGCACAATACTGGAATTCTGAAACAGGTTTCTCGAAAAAATAGAGAACCCAACCCGGGAATAAGAGATGGTTGTATAAATTTCACTGCAAGCGGAGAATATTCATCCGTTTGTGCCTTGAATGTGACTCCTGCACCAGTGATTTCAGTAGCAGAAGATATATTTGGAACTGGACCCAGCTTTGTAGCTCTAGGCCTGTAGCAGCTTTGGAGAAGCCCAAGGATATGACAATGCTCTACTGGTCCCTCAATTGTGGTAAGCTCGCTATTATTTATGATATTCATATCCTTGAAGAAATAGAAGACAAGGTCAGTTAACGAAATTGACTTCAAGATCCGTTTCACAGTGATGCTGAACAATTTTTCAAGAATAAAGAATGGCATTTGATTTTCTAGTAGCAGCAAGTCGTGTTTAACGTCATGTATCACCAGAATATTGTCAAAAATTGGATCCCCCTCTCCAATTCCATATTCGAACCTGTAGAGAAGCTCAAGTATGAAGCAACCATCAATAACCATCATTTCAGCGAACTTTAAATTTTCATAATTTGTAAAACTTGGTGCATAGCAAGCTCTTGCACGTGTTAGAAGCCCAAGAACTGCTTGTACACAGTTATAAGTTATTTGCTCTATATCCTCCTCTGTGGATTCCACAGTTCGACAAAATAATCGATACATGTAAGTCACTTTGTGCTCCTCCATAGCTTTAAGATGCTGGTCCTCTTTGTGAAGAGGGCCGATTGAGGTGATTCGAGGTGTATATGCAGTTGGGTTGAGATTTCGAAGTGTATCGGGTACCATACAAATTGTGACAATATTAGATTGCTCGGATTGATTCAGTCTTACTGATTCATTTTTTATCAGTTTACTGATGGAATCGTGAACTTCCTTTCTGTAATCGTCAGCTTCTGTTTCCATAATGAATCCTGTAGCTTTTTCGTTGTTGCTGACCAAAGACGTCTAGGATATATCTACACGAATTGATCACAATAAACTGGTGAGAAATTAGCCAAATTACAAGTTAATTTGCAACTACGAATAATCAACTTATCATGATTTATGTTTTGCATAAACCTTGGGTGGAAGAAGTACGTTCAAGGTAGGTTCAATATTAATTTTTTTTTGTCCCCATATCATTGACATATATGAGTACATCAAAATCTATAATTGACATAATACAAGGTACCAGTGCTGTGTGTTCACATCATATTAATTCAGATTCACGCATATACATTGAAATTTTACAGGTGTTTTATTGTGAATCAGGAACAGTAAGATGTAACTTCAAGCTTTTATTCATGTGCATCAACTAGGCTCATGGGTGTGGTTGTCATGCCTCATCCATGACACCAGGGTGGAGGGTTTTCACGTTGTGAGCATCGCCTCCCTTAGTCGTGATGCTGAGGTGGTGTGATGCCCCATGAACCCTAGTGTTGAAGTGGTGGAGGGTGGCTGAGGGGTGGTGTGATGACCATATCGTCCGGTCTCATATTCCAGGATATGCCCCGTGTCATATAGAATGATTGTTTGATATTTTTTTTCGTTCATTCTTTTCAATAATAAATATTCCTTGTAAAAAGAAATCAAGGTACGCAAAAAAAACAACCTTTCTACAAACAAGCATAATTATAAATTTTGGAAAAAAAAGATTTAATGTTTGTTTCTATAAATACCAAGAGAAACTTTTTGTCTCCAAATGTCAAGAATGGTTAAATTATTCTTCTCATACCTACATTTGTCTGTTTGCAAGAAAAAATTCAAAAATATTTTCCTTAAGTGGTCATGTTTTACTTATAAAAAAACTTTTGCTTTTATATAATATATATACATTACAATGAATGGAAAGGGAGACATAGAGAACAACTACTGCAAACAAAATAAATAGATAAACCATTCTAACCCTAAGATTAAATATGGCAATCTGCCAAAAGTGTGTTTGGAATTGTTTATTTAACTTAATAAGCCTTTTTGATAAAAGTTTTATTAACTTATGTGGTTTTTAAAAAGATGTTTAGATTAGTTTATGTGGTGGCAATAAGCTATAACATGGTTTTTAAAAAAGGCGTTTATATTAGTTTATATGGTGACAATAAACTTTATATTAGTTTATATGGTGACAATAAACTATAACTGATAAGCTTTTTTTTTTAAATGTGTTTAGATTAACTTATAGTCATTTTAGGTGAAAAAATCATAAGTAAATTTTAAAAACCAATAGTTTATAACTTTTTAAAAACACATTTTTGATGGTTGTAAAAAGTTGTTTTTAAAAGCATATTTCTATTTCTCATACACTTTTTTAAGCTAATTGATTTTTTAAAAAACTAATAAATCAAAATAAGCATTTTTCAAACTCAATGTCAAATACCCTCTAAATATATGCTAGCATTGTGTCTCATTAAATGTTGCATAGGAAATATTTTTACACAAGTGAAACATTCAGCCACATTAGAATAAAAAAGAAGGTTGCTGGGGAATCAAATTTAGAACTCCATCAATGAGTTGTTGAGTGAGAGTTAAAAAATAGGGGTATTGGATTGCTTAGATTCTCAGAAAGTTGTGAAAACAATATTAAATTGAAATATTTCGATAGTACAAATTGAACACTCAATTGGATAAAATTCAGATATTACGAAATGAAAGAATATATGTGAATAAGTTCTTGAAGATGTACCAGAAAATGACCAAAAAACAAAATATAACCTCTATGTTTGAAAACTGTCACAATACAGTTTTAAACTATCACAAAACTGCCAAAAACCATCACCAAACTGTCACAAAGCTCAACCCCGGCCATGGACTTTGCCCCTAGGACCCCGCTACCAGGAGAGCTTCCCTCGGACACATGTCGGTTCAGGGGCTTCGCCCCTAAATGACAATGTACTTTGAATTTTGATAAACTCAAAGACGTGTGTACTCCGCACCACCCGAAAGTTCAATGTTTATCAAGATTTCTTTTTGTCAACAAATTAATCATATTACACTTAAATAATATTAGTGATAACAAATCACCAACAAACCTCCCCCATTTAAGTGTAATCCTGATTAACTTACAGCAAAACATAACAAAAATAAATTGATGCATAAATGAAATATCATGACGGTTGAATTTCAAATTAGTATATTACTCAATCTAAGTATTCAAATAGCAGGGTGTCACTAAGGATTGAACCGTTTCTATTCAAAGTGAATACATGAAGATAATATACACAACAATTTACATTCTCATAAATTCTAACTTGACACTATATTTTACTAACTTGTGTCCTATCCTTATATAAGTATATCCACGCCAAATCTCAAACTTCCTGAAGCAGCTAAACTTCATGCTTATATACGTAGTTCTTTTATCATTGCACCTACAAATGTAATTTTTCAAAAGAACTACTAAGAAATGAAATTTCAACCATCTTTACTTGTAGTATTGAACACATATATTGGGATATTTTTAATAATGTGTTCTAATCTAAAAATATCAAGCTTTTTATATTGAATTCAACATCTAATATTGCATTAGAAGGGATTTGGGTATCTCAATATGAAAGATTTTAGGTGGACTTTAAACTCATCCCTACAGCCGCCTTGTGCATAAGATATCTAGCTAACCCTTTAATTAAATGATCAGCTAAGTTCAACTGAGTTCTCACAATCTCCACAAATATCATACTGGTCATAATGAGCTCACGAATCATGTTATGTCTAACACCTAAATGTCTAGACTTGCCATTGTACACTTGAATATATGCTTTAGCCGAGGTTGCAGCACTATCGCATCTGATAGAAATGGTAGATATCGGTTTGGGCCACAATGGAATTTCATAAATCAAATTCCTTAGCCACTTAGCTTCTTTACCAGCAGCAGACAATGCTACAAACTCATACTCCATGGTGGAGTTTGTAATACAAGTCTGATTCTTGGATGTCCAAGAAATGACATCTCTTCCTAGAAGAAATACCAAACCAGTAGTAGAGGAGTGATCCTCTAAGTTGGTTAGCTAGCTGGAATCCGAATAACCTTCTAAGACAGAAGGAAATCAATTGTATGTGAACTAGGATTGCTAGTATACCTACTAAGCTTTCCTACAACATACGTTATATCATCCCTAGTACTAATCATTGAATACATAAGGCAACCAATAGTTCTTGAGTATTCAAGTTAAGACAATGGAGATCCCTTATTAGGTAGAAGCTTAAGATTACGATCTATAGAAGTGCTAACATGAGAACAATTTTTAAAGTAAAACTTTTTCAAAATCTTATTAATGTAATAAGATTGAGAAATTGAAATCACATCAGCCTCCCCGAGGTCTTTCATGTCAAAACTAGATGATAAGAATTTCTTGGTGTTATCAACTTCATCTTGATCAGTACCAAAAATCAACATATCATCTACATATAGACAAATTATAACTCCTTTATTAGAAGTATCAAACTTGTTATATACACACTTTTCAGCTTGGTTTAATGCAAAACCATTAGACAAAACCGCATCATCAAACTTTTGATGCCTTTATTTTGGTGCTTGTTTCAAACCATATAATGATTTCTTCAACTTGTACACCTTGTTTTCATTTCCAGACATCACAAGACCTTAAATTTGTTTCATGTAAATCTCCTCATCCAATCCACCATTCAAGAATGTAGTTTTCACATCCATTTGGTGAATCACAAGACTATGTATAGCTATAAGAGCCAGCAATAATCAAATAGTGGGAATTCTGGCAACATGAGTATAAGTATTAAAGAATCCAATGCCTTCTTTTTGCTTAAAGCCTGAGATAACCAATATGGCTTTGTACTTATCTATTGTACATTCCACTTTCATTTTCCTTTTGAAGATCCATTTACATCCTAATTCCTTGCATTTAGGATGTAAATCAGATAAAACCCAAGTATTATTATGCATGATAGAATCAATATCATCATGAATTGCTTCTTTCTAGAAATCAGCATCCCTATAAGCCATAGTTTCACTAAAAGTACTTGGATCTTCCTCAATTATATAACAATATTGATGTTGAGACACGGTCTCATTCCTAGTCCCGTCAACTACATAAATTTAAAAATCGAATCCAAAAGACATACATTTTCTAGCTCTAGTGCTTTTCCTTGGTTCAAGTACAATATTTTTACCACCACAAACATCTTCATCTTGAGTTGTGGTTTTGCTGGAAGATTGTTGAATCATGTCCTTTGGTCTAGGTATAGATGTAAATCTCTCTTCATCAAATATAGCATATCTTGACTCTATAACAGTATTCGCATACATATAGTCATTAGATTCTAAAACATAGAATCTATATGCTTTGGAATGCTCAACATATCCAATGAAGATAAAAATATATACCTCTCTCACCCAAGGTTTTTCTTTTGGGTTCAATGAGCCTTACAACTGCTCTACAACCCCAAAATTTAAGATACCTCAAATTTGGAACCTTTTTATACCGGTGCTCGTAAGGACTATTTTTACTCCTTTTGTTTGGAGTTCTATTCAAGACATAACAGGCTAGAGGTGGAAAATTTTGACACGACTCGAAATTGACATTTAATAAATGGGTTAAGGTTAGAAATTTCGACACGTTTAATTAAACAGGTTGACATGACATTACACGAATATTAAACGGATATGGTTAGAGTTAAGATTTTTAACACAAAAACGACATGAAAATAACCCGTTTATATATATATATATATATATATATATATATATAATATATATATATATATATATATATATATATATATATATATATATATCAAGGTTGTAAAAATCGTTCGACGGTCGACTAGTGTTAAGGGAT